CATCAGATCTTCCATCAGATGGATCGGACGAGGAGAAACAATATGAAACAACTAGCTACTAGTTGCGTGGTTCACTTGAGTTATTTGGCTGCGTATTCTACAGTATCCTGTTTCCCCTGTTTCCGCACGCTTCCCGTTTCTGAAGCATTTGCAGGAAAGAGGAGTGACCTTCAATGTTCCTTCGAAGGCCTTTACATGCATTTACTATGTTGCCTGACAGATGCAAATGCATGCAGGTGTGCTTCATGTGACTGACAAGCTAGCTAAATCTAGTTGCTTGTTCCTTGTTAGGCCGAAGGACATACCGGTGATCCGAAAGGGAAGGCACGCTATTTGATGTTGTTCAGTGAAGAAGAGGTGTTGTTTTGTTTTGTCATTTGAAGGTCCGCAAGGGAACAGGCTATGTGAGTCTTTCCGAGCTGCCATCAGATGATGAAGAGGACACCTATGACCGCTACATGTCTTTAACGTTGTATGACGTCGAGCTCAATACAGTTTTTTTCTTATTATTTCTCCTTAAATGCTGAATGGCCAGGGAACAGCATCAGTATCCTTCCAGGTGCCATCATTCATATATGTGTTTTGTCAGAGAGCGTTGTTCAGTGAAGATGCAAGCTTTCAAAGCTAGTCATTTGGTCTTGTGATCAGCAGCAGGCATCTGGACAAGAAGGACAACCTCGGACCAAGGATTGGGTCGCAATGAGACGAGATCTGTGTGCATCACATATGTTCAAGACACTCCAGAGTGGTTGACTGCATTGGCCTTCATCAACTATATGCACTAGTGCCGGCATGATAGATCGTGATAGTATGACAGAGCTAGTGTAAATTTTTCACAGCACTTGTCGGACTTTGTCGCAGGTTCGAAAAGGCACTGGATACGTGGCTGCATCAGATCTTCCATCGGATGGATCGGACGAGGAGAAACAAGATGAAACAACTAGCTACTAGTTGCGTGGTTCACTTGAGTTATTTGGCCGCGTATTCTACAGTATCCTGTTTCCCCTGTTTCCGCACGCTTCCCGTTTCTGAAGTATTTGCAGGAAAGAGGAGTGACCTTCAATGTTCCTTCGAAGGCCTTTACATGCATTTACTATGTTGCCTGACAGATGCAAATGCATGCAGGTGTGCTTCATGTGACTGACAAGCTAGCTAAATCTAGTTGCTTGTTCCTTGTTAGGCCGAAGGACATACCGGTGATCCGAAAGGGAAGGCACGCTATTTGATGTTGTTCAGTGAAGAAGAGGTGTTGTTTTGTTTTGTCATTTGAAGGTCCGCAAGGGAACAGGCTATGTGAGTCTTTCCGAGCTGCCATCAGATGATGAAGAGGACGCAAAATTGCGTTCGATTGTGGTTTGAGGTGCCAAAGATTGCTGTTAATCTGTTATTCAATGATTTCTTCCACACGACCGCAGGGCAGTACGGGAACAAGTCGCAGCGACCACCAATCAACCGGTCTGTTACGACGAAACGGTAGCCCCTACTTCCCAGACCAGACCATGCATGGGGCTGGAACAGTTACATACGTTGACCTCATGGGTCATTTATATATCCCAGACACTCCGTTAGTATGCCATATATGCCCGCCGAAACATGGTCCAAACCTTGCATCAAGGCAAAGAGCATCAAGTGCAACATGCCAATAATTTTGTATTTCCGTACCACACAAATCTTGCTGGGATATGTCAAGTCATTTCTATATAGACAGCTTGTCCCATTTTGTCCCATGTCGAAGAGGATGCAATCATAACCGACTCCGGCCACAAGGGAAGTGGACCAGGCATTCGTTTCCTTGTTTGCTCCCGTGCGTGATCTAGTGTTTTTGCATGCGCTTTCCTGCTGGCTTCTCTGCAGCATAGGCCAGTTTGTTTGTCCATGGGTGTCCCTTTCAACAAGTTTGAGTTCTCAATCGCTGAAGTCATACCGTCCATAGGGCTCCAAGTACCTCCATTTTGGTGCTTGGGTCCCTACCTTCTGACGATCTGGTTGGAGCTTGGGGGCAATGAAATATGGTACCTGTTGGTGTCTCATTTGGCCCATGCACCTTTGGCCAGGAGCCCGCATCAGTCTCCTTCCAGGTCCCTGAAACATCAAAACAGTGCAGTCTTTGGTGTGCAAAGACTTCGAGCTCGATGGGTGTGCATTAGAGTAGGGATGAGTAGGGAGACTACCAGATGGGTGTGCATTGGTTTATGTTGCTTCTTCCAAGGGGGTTTTGTTGGGCGAGTTTTCTCAGTGTCATTATCGCACGGCTATTTTTGCGTCGTGTGTTTGTCGGGTTTGTGTGTTCACTGGAGCCCAGGTTTGCTGAGTCATCGGATGTGATCCAAATGTATTATGTAAGATGTATAATAAGATTAGATATGATGTACTCATTCTATCTGATTAGATGTTGTTATACATGAAACATGGTAAATTGGTGATATGATATCGCTGTCTTTTTGCACCCCTGCGCAGGCTTCTGGACCAGAGGGGCAGCTTCGACCCAAGGCAGAGGGGCACCTTCGACTGGGTCCAACGGTGTGGTCGTGTGTTGCGTCGTGTGGTCGTTGAGCACTGGCTGAGCACTGGGAATCACTGGTGGGGTCGAAGAGCACATGAGAGGCATGGGAGGCATGAGGCATGGGGTCCTCTTGCGCGGAAGGAAACGCAGGTCCCCAAACAGTTGGGGTTCTGTATTTTCAAGCGGCCTGAAGAAGCGCTGTGTTTGATTGGAGGTCCGCAAAGGCACCGGCTTTGTTGCTGCTGGTGACCTTCCCTCAGAGGGCTCGGAGGAGGAGCAGGAGCATGTTGGAGTCTCGCGAAATGTGTAATGTGCATGATTTTTGTAGGCCTCCATGTACCTTCTGAGAAGGTGGGACTGGGGTGGGTGCCAGGAAGGTCCAGTCATGCCTTCTGAGGAGGTACGACTGGAGGTGTAGGGCAGGGAATTGGTCAGTCATGTGCGTGACGTGGTCGAAGATCTTCATCTTCACCTTGGTGGACACCATGTTAAAGAGTGTTTGGCAGCATGGGCTCCATGTGGCGGCACCCCAAGTGGCAGATGACGGAGCATTGCCTAGAACCCCAACATGATCCCTGTTTCGATAGAACAAGACCACAGATATCTGTTCACTCTGTTTTCACTGCAGCTCTGAAACTAGGGCCAGAAGAATCTTTTCTGAGTAATTACAGACAAAACAACAGATTGTTTGGGTGGTTGGTGATGCAACATCGAGCTCACTCAGGTTCTTTGTGGCTGAGACATGTACCAATGAACATGCGGGACCGTGAGCGTCACCTCCAATCCTTTCGGGGCAACGGCATTTCAGCTGTCTTTCTCCCCAGCAGGAGACCAACAGCGTGAGCTTCAAAGATGGGCCCTCAGTAGACTGCGCGTGGACCGCGCGAGCGGTCGAGAGAGCTTTTCCAAGGACTCTAGGACCCCTGTAGTGGCGCAGAATGTAGACAATTGGATGCAATTGGTTGATACGAATAATCCCCCCAAACTTGAAGAGGATGTCCAATCATCTGAATAAACAGGTTTATTGATCAGGAGTCAAGAGTCTACCACTTAGTGGTGCACATGGGATGGGCCAACTTCAGCGCAGCACTTCGTTCGCCCGCTGTTCAGAACTGCTTCGTTCCGGGCCGAGCGGAGCACCGGTGCTCCGCTCGGGTCTGAGACATCGCAACGAGACCGAAGTCGACTTGAAAGAACAATGCCCAGACACGACCCGTCTGGGACTGCCATGTCGGACTGCCGAGTGGCACGGCCGACCGGGGTGGTGGTGCCAGAGGGGTCAATATTGGGTGGCAGTCCGACATGGCAGTCCCAGACGGGTCGTGTCTGGGATGGTGACTGGATGTTCGATGTTCTCCTCCGGGCGGCTTCTTCGTGGAAGCTCGCTAGCGAAAGGAAGGCTATAGCTAAACTCCAAGCTTTTCGCTGGTTGGAGAGCCTGGCTCGAACGTTTCCATGTTGTGAAGGTTTCCTGGAGCTCCACCGTGAGAAGATGAAAACAAAGATAGATTGAATCCTTTTGGTTTGGGCACCATCTATGTCTATGATGCCCCTACTGGTAGGTATAGAATCACAGAGCAATGATGGTTAGTCAGGGGTTTTCAACGTACTCATGCGGTACATGAAAGTTTTACCGGAGAAGCTACCTATGCCCTATGCTGACTTCAGGGTTTTTGCCCTTGCATCTTTGGGACCAAAGAGGATGTGTCCCTCAGAGACGAGACAGAACTCACTCACGTGGAAGTGGAAAACGGGATCCTGGAACTGTCCTCTACAAACAGGGGGTGCCATCCACGTATGTAACTTAACCATGTGATGTGTTCGTTGGTTCGTGATGGTTCGTGTACCCTAAGGATCCCCATACCGAACCAGGTCGGTACGGTGAGGAAGGAGACTATTTGATGCGCCAGGAGTTCGTTTGCGACCGGAAGCTGCGAATTCCTGGCGCCCTGGATCCGACCTTCTCGCCCTCGACCTTCTCGCCACCAGCGGTCATGTGTACCCCTCCAAACTGCAGTCCACGAAGCAAAGATTTTGAGAGAAAGACAAAGACTTCGAGGGACCTCCATCCTTTGCGAGGGAAAGACATCGAGGTGGCGGCCACTTAGTCGGCCTTAAGAAAGTGGATGTTCACCCGATGAAGCCTTGAAATCTGTTCCACGACAGCTCAGGCACGTGCTGATCAGGGTGATCCCAAGCCCAAGGTGCTTTGACTTGCACCAGCTTTCGCTGTTTGAACGGATCACCGGGGGATCCGCCAGGAAGCAGGTGCCCGTCCATGGTGGTCCATGGGTTGGTCGTCCATGGTGTTTTTAGTTTTTGGAACCAGGTGGGATTACATCCCTGCAGACTAAGATGGACTGCGAGAATTCACCTGTGGAAGACCATTTTCCGAAGGCATCCGAAGACCAACCCAGTTTACGTCAATGGGGGTCCATGTGGTTCGAATAGCAGGAGGGTACCTACCCGAGCTCGGTGCTTTGCCTTCCACGCCAGCTCGACCTGTTCGACAGTGGCCACTGGCCAGAGGTTGACATATCGAATAGGTGGACCTTACTGATGACCAACAGTTCGATGTCAGGTATCAAGACACTCAGGACATACAGCACTGACATACAGGAAGCACATTCAGCACTACTATTCAGCACCGACACTCATTCAGGATGTTGGTCATACCAAAAGCACTCAACTTACGGTCTGTAAAGGACAGGGTTTGGGTCAGATGGGACCTCTAGGGTGTTCCACCATCGTGATGTGTTTGGATCGAATCGGTCGAAGCTGTTTGGCGGGTACCCACTTTGGAGTACGGTTCACCTGTTTCTGAGTGTAGTCATAGGATGTTAGGATGTTCCGACACACATTTGTGGTACGGTATATATGTGCTCGTTTTGTTCAGCAACACAAGACACCAAATTGGAATTGAATCTTGGTATACTCGTATCACACTCTGCAGAGTTGAGTAAAGATGATGGGATAGCAATTGATTTGGACATGAACTTAAAAGCAACATAATTATGCCTTTAAACAAAATAGAAAACATCGCTAAGTGGTCAATCCAAAGGGATGTGGCGCGGATTGGCGCCTGGCGGCGTTGGTTTTGATTCCGAGCTGCTCAGAATCCCCAAAGAGATGGTCGTTTTCGACCACCCAGTGTTGCTTTGCAAGCGGGGTGTCGAGCTGTAAATGCACTTTATGTAGGATGATAGAAAAATACAGCGTGCATAAAGCTTAAGAGGTTTTACAATCCATATTGTGTTTCTTGTTCATCAAAAGGATGTCAAAGTCTACATCAAACTAAAAGTTTTCAGCATTTTTTGAGGGCGTCGTCCTGGAAAATAGTTGTGATGTGTTGTGATGAACAAGTCTGAACAAGCCATGTTTTTAGGCCTTGGGGACTCGCTGCTGTGAACCATTACGTCATATTACATCTAAGAAGTCATCAAAGATTAAACCCTTGTGGGGGATCCAAAGAAAGTCAAGTGCTGGGGATATTGGTTTTATGATGTTGTATGGCGATCGTCGTTCTCATGTCGATGCACAATTTGCATACAGGGAATAGGAATCACCAGTCAGAGTGCAACTTGATTTTGGCCTTTCACATGTTCACCCCGCAAAACGAGCTTGAAAACACTGGTCGGAGACTCGCAATTGTGCACAATATTAATAAAGGCTCGATATACTGGAAGACTCCTTTGATCCACGCCATGTCCATTGGTTTATCATCAAATGACGGCTTATATCCAAATCCAATCAAGTAAACATCATAACATGTGTAGGAAAAAACACAATTCTTGCTTTTTTCTTTTGCAACACACACACAGGCATTGGACATCCATCTAAACCTTCTCAATCCAACCCATGTGCGTCAATGCACATTGAGTTTTTCACCCTTCGACTGATGCCCCGACGGCCGCGGCGGAAGAGTTTTGAGGTGCGGCAAGGCACCGGCTTCGTGGGTTTGTCCGATCTTCCCGACGAGGAGCGCTCTTGTGGGATGAAGGGGCCGGAAGGCCAGGTCGTAGGAGGCCGCAAAGCCGGGTGAACATCCAGGCGTGAAGGCAGTTCGTAGGTGGCCGGTGACGACGGAAGACCGATTCGACCGAGACTCTGGTTTCCGTGGCCACCCTGGATCCACTGGGAAAGCCTTCTTATAAGCCTTGTTAAATACTTTCAAATTTGCTGAGGGGGGGGTGGTTAAGCATCCTGCAAGTTGGAACACCTGGCCTTTGCTGGAGCTGGGTGATTGTGCTTTTCCCTGAGAGTGATTCCCCCAACCTGGTGAAGGTTTTTTTTTCTATTTTTGGAGCGGTTCCTGGACCGGAAATCCACGAAAAGGGGGACGACAAGGGTTCCCCTAATTGGTCGATGCCCTGCGCTTTGGAAGAGCATGGATTTCCTCGACTGGAGTGGTAGACAGCAGTAAACTAGCTTTGGGAGGGTAGCTCCGGAAAGAAAACACATGTGTTCCTGCACTCCCTGAAACACGCATGAAAGTGGGTGGCATGGCCCCTTAAATTACCATTACAAAGAGGTGGTTGTAGACTTCATGTGGGGTCTTGGAGGGTATCATGGCAAGCTTAATCATTGGAGTGACCTTGACCAATGTATACGACAATGTTTGGCCTTGGTTTGGGTGGATATCCTTTGTGGATTCTATGTTGATCCTATGGGGACTGCGAGCCTGATCTGATGCCTGCAAACAAAGGTGCATGTCTAGTGCAGAGCAGCAGTTTCTTGCACGTTCTTGTAAGTTGTATAGGTCTTCCATGCTTCAGTGCCAAAAGCCACAAGGCCGGGGAGCTAGCAGAAGACAGACAGACACAAACATAAAAAATCCAAATACGTCAAGGTCTTTGAGCCATGGCGAAGAGAATTTCAGCACGGCAGCCGAGTGGTGAAGTCATGTTTTTTGAAGTCACGCCAGAGATGACAGGCCGCGCGCTCAAGCAGCAGATCAAGGAGGGACAGGTTTGGGACGAGCTCACTCGCAGCACTACGAGCGTGGAGATCATTATTGGAGACAACCAATTGCTGTGCAATGATGCAAAGGCATTGGACGCTGGAATTGCTGAAGATGCTGTTGTGAGTGGTGTCTTCAAATCAAACAAAGTGATATGGTCCAACAAAGACTCAATCGTCAGTCTTGGTGGCATTGTTGACTCGGAACTGTTGCCTGTGGTCGAACTTCCAGATGATGAAACGCACATCCTTGAGGACGCTTTTCACGGTTGCGACATGGTGGCCAAAGTTACCATTTCGGAATCGGTGGCCCACATTGGGGATCAAGCCTTTCAGCATTGCAGCTCTTTGGTGAACTTGACCATCCCGAACTCAGCGACGCACATTGGAGAAAGTGCCTTTGCTGGTTCAGCATTGCAGCTCTTTGGTCGACCTGACCATCTCAAACTCAGTGACCCAAATTGGACCTGAGACGTTTCTGGAATGCGGCTCTTTGGTGACCTTCACCATCCCAGACTCAGTGACCCACATCGGGATTCATTCCTTTGCAGATTGCATCGCTTTGGCAAACTTGACCATCCCAAACTCTGTGACCCACATTGACAATTGTGCATTTGCTAGTTGCAGCTGTTTGGTTGACTTGATCATTCCGAACTCGGTGACCCACATTGGAAATTTGACCTTTCACCCTTGCAGCTCTTTGGTGAACTTGACCATCCCTGACTCAGTGATCCACATTGGGGATCATGCCTTTCAGCATTGCAGTTCTTTGGTGAACTTGACCATCCCAGACTCAGTTGAGCACGTTGGGCAAGGTGCCTTTAGGAACTGCCGAGGGGCAAAGCGCAGAAGACACCGCTGAAGACGGTTTCCTCATATCTCTGACACGGTGCCTTTGAAGATTGCGGACACGGCGGATTTCTGAATATGGCTGTTGGTGCCATCACCGTGCACGTCACCCTCCCTGCCAATTTGCAGCGAGCTGGGTCCGGCCATCATGGGGCAAAAAGGCAGAGGTTGATGAAACACCCAGCAATCAAATAAGTTCGGAGGCTTACTCTCCGACGTCATTACCTGCTTTGTAGAGAAAATAGGCTGCTTCCAGTGGCCTATGTCATTGGCGAGAGCCCCGCGTTCTCACGTTATGGATCATCATGTTTTATAATGTTTTATGATCCCTAGGATCCAAGTACCTTCTCAGGAGGTGATGTGTTCGACACTGTTATGTAGGTGCCAGGAGGGTCCAGTCGTACCTTCTGAGAGGGTACGATTGGATCCCTAGGGAATGTTTTGTTAGTTCTTTTCGTGTGTGATGCGCTCTCGAGGGCGGCAGAGTATCGTATCATCCCTATATCCTTGGAAGAGTGGGTTTGATGATTACCCACCACTGACTTGGTGCGCGTATAGGATTTCAATCTACATTGTGTTTTTTCCAATAAGGTCCTTTTCGAGAGGTGTCTCGCTATTTCAATAGACCCACTGGATTCCATGAAGCATGGTGTAAGGTGTCGATCCCGGAGAAAATGATCAGAAATTGGTCCAAACAATGGACATAATCATTACAAACCTTTGCAATACACAAATATGTTTGGGGTAGACGAATGCTCGTTCACTATCGGTTTGTTGACAGGGTCTTGCCGCTATGATCCACCTGAGGATGTGGGTCAACACCTCGATGTTTGACACTGCCCATACTTGCTGCAGGGATAGTTAGGGATAGCAGAACATTATCACAAGTCTATCGACGGGGCATCAAGACAAAGATGTACATTTCGTGCTCATAGATCAGAGAAGGTACGGCATTGCCTAAAGTTTCTTACTGACTTGAGCGTGCCACGGACATTGAATCCAAATTAAACATGACATGCAGATATGTAGTTTTGACCAAGTGCCCCACCAACTCAACCAGAATCAGAGAATTCATGGTGCCATAGATGGATTTCTATGTCCATGGGTCTTTGAATCCCGGTGCCACCTCACATAATCCGTTGCACCTCACGCATGACTCGTCGCAGGAGTCCAGTGTCTCATTTCAGGCGGGTCCCGTGCTTCACCGGTTGGGGCGGTCCCGCCGGCGGGTCTGTTGGGTTTCAACGCCTGGTTGACACAGACCTATGGGGGTGAGCGTTTTTGTTCGAAGCAAGGTCTGATGGACAGTTCGGACAGCGATTTTAGGACACGATGTGTTCCGTGTCCGACGGAATGGATACCGAAGAATCTCACGTTAACTTATACAGAACTATATGGGGCTTGGCTTGCCCAATGCGTGGCTGTGTCTCAAGAGCAGCCTTGTTTCGTGAAGTGGAAGGCAAAAGCGTACAACAACAGCTGTCCTATTTTAAATGTGCCAGAATCGCTGAAAGAAAAGGATTCCCTCCCGGCCCCCAGCCGCATGCGTGACCTTTTGAACCAAGGTGCTAGATCCATTACTAGGGAGCAAGAACGCTACTGAGAGCAAAGGGCTTGCCACTAGGAGCAAGGACGCTACTAGGGGCTCCTGGCCGTACTACTAGGGGCAAGGACGCTACTAGTATCTATATATAGGTCGCTATAGGTTCAAAATTCCACTGTGTTTGGTTTGGTGGTCATGTGGTGCATGTGTGGTTGTCGATGGAACATTGTAGCGCCAGAGGTCATGACCTTTTGGAGGGGCACATAGACTGGGCGCACATAGCCCGTTCCATCAACGATGTTGGAACGGCACTCAGTGTTGTCGACGCGATGGAGAAGATACATGGTATTCCGCCAGGCCAGAGGAGACGAGGGCGAACCCAAGCCAAAGGTGGGCGTGTATTTGTGTTTTCATGTGTTTTCCATGTGCCGCATGGTGAAGTGGATGAGGAGAACAGCATAATTAGGAGAACAGCCAAGCAGCCGGTGTTAAAGCACACAACACAACCGCAGTCGACAGGTATTTCTATGCCAAACTGAGGATTGTTCAGGCCCTTTCTACGCCAAAAGTGGATAGAAATTTCACAGGCGTTGATGTTTGCACAAAATCGTTTGGACTCCTACTAGGGCTCCTTTCAAAACTGCTGACAGGATATTTCGCAGGGCATCGATTTGCTTTGCCAGATTGGTTGGTTGATTGAGGGGATACCCATGGGTCGTGTTTCTTCCCCCTAAAGGGATATGGTACCCCAAGTGGTATCCCATGGTACCCCTCTATGACTCCCTTCCGACCTCCGAGTTCGGGACATTCCTCCAATCACTCAACCCATGGACTGCTACCAGCTGAATAAGCTGAATCAACGCTGGCTGGCTCGGTGCACTCAAGCAGTCCGGTTCAGGGTGACGTTTCTTTTTTCCTGAGTAGGACATGGCGGTGGCGAGTCAGTGGCGTTTTCTCTTGCGGTCATGGGCAGTATTGGGCAGTTAAGTCCTTGATTGTTCTTCAATTATGTCATAAATTGTCATTATATGTCATTATGATCATTATGTTTTTCTTTATATGGACCTTTACACTCTTTAAATTGTGTGTTTCTTTCCTCTTGTTGTTCAATTTTTTGCTGAACTTATGGTGCAACGCCCTGTCAGCCCTCCATCCCAAGTGGTCGATGTTTGCACCATTTCTGCCAGGTCCGGCAAGATACCTGCGTGGTTCGGGCTTCCCAACTCCCTCCCGAAGAGGAGGAGGCACGGCGCATTTTTGTTTTGTGCAGATTGAGATGTGGGATGTGAAAGTGAGGCACTGCTCCTCTGGTCAAAAGGAAAGTAATTAGTGATAGGCACAACATGTAATTATTAACCATACTATCCTATACGAGAGTGCCGATTCATGCGATGTTCACACAAGACGGAAGCCTTGGAGCGCAGCGCTGGGAAGTTGGTAGAGCCCCGCATCGGAGTTCAAGCTCAAAACAACCAGGATATTGGACCACAAAACCCCCTGTGGACCCTGCACAAGGTGTATGGAAGTGTATTGTACGACATAGGTGCGGCAAGTAGAAGTGGGTCTGTTCTCCTCTTCGGAAGACACAGAGGACTCGAGAAGCCAATAATGGCTTAGATAAGTCCCACATCCCTGACAGATAGTAATTTTGACCCCAATCGAGATGGTTTGATCAATTATTTGACAAGTAGTAGGGTTCAGATGATGCATGTCTTTCTTTAGGAAAAATACCAGAATCATGCGCTGTTCAGGTTTAGGGGTTGTTTCTTGGAACCTTACTTGGCGTGGAACATGGATTCCACCTGGATGAGATGAAGTGTCGTCACCTGTTTTGAGATGTTTGGCCGGGGCGGGCCATGTGTTTTCCATGTTACTTTCCTTGCACCACGGTCCTTCTTCCTTGCCGTTTGCAACCCCCTACGGCCATCACTCCCTTCGCTCCGGAGACCTGAAGACTCAACGTGCCTTCCGGAGACCCGGAGACCGAATTCGGCGCGCAGGAGCAGCAGAATCGATGGCCCAGGAAGTCGGCGATGAAGCAGCAGGCGGATGCCGGATGCGGCGTGACGCGTGGCGGGTTTTTTCCCGGTTGCTCGGCGCGCTCGGCGAAAGGGTAGCGGTCCACTTTGGGGGACTGCGGGTGGAACACACGAAGGAGGGCGGCGGGAGGGCGGTTTGGTTTCGTGGGACAAGAATCTTATTAGGTGGTGAGTGGTGATGGGTGATGTTTGTCATTTCGATATGTTGTGATTGTGCAGGCTTTTGCGTGCTTTCTGTAGATGCGAAGTGAGGAAGCTGATACAAGGATGCCGATGGGTATGAATTGGCAGGGTTGTGGCTCTTGTTCAAAAAACTGATTAAAGGTCCGCGAAGGCGTATAATTATTAGGGGAACTGAGTCTGAGTGAGTGCAACATGACGAAGACCACATTTCAACTGCTACTGGATGTTCGGAGCCAGAGCACATGTGTGCAGGAATATCCTCTCTCTAAGGGACCTGAACTTCCGATGGCATCGCTACTAGGAGCAAGGACGCTACTAGTAGCTCCTGGCCTTACTACTAGTAGCGTCTTGCTACTAGTAACACGATCCGTTGCTTCGAACCTCGCGGCTGAAAAAGACTCGCCCGGTGGCCAAAGCCACCGCCTTGTCTCGCGCCGAAACTCCATGTCTCGCGCCGCGCGCTTGGCAGGTCTCGCCGCGCAAGCAGGGGCACACGCTCTCTGCGTATGCCCTATTCGAGCTGGGCTCTGATGAGGACTCCCGACGAACGGAACGGTCCCGGTGTCAGACCACCGATCCCTGGTGTTGGCATCAAGGTGTTTTTTGTTGTATTCCCTATCTTGAGGGCATGTTGGTTTTTGCTAGACTTCATCACTCAGATGCTAGGGAAGAATCATCATACCAGACCATCCTGTGTGGGTGTCCTGGCTGGACCACCCTACGCTACTATCCGAGATCTCCAGCCTGGACACCCAAACAGGATGGTCCAGCTGTAGTGTTGTTGTTGTTGTTGTTGTTGTTGTTGTTGTTGTTGTTGTTGTTGTTGTTGTTGTTTGTAGAGACAAAAGCAGCCGCCCAACATAGTTGTCACATGTTGCAAGTCAGGGATTTCAATGGGATTCTGTTAGGGATAGGGTCGAAGGTTTGGAGAGATGTTAGTAGCTGGACTTCTTGTCCTTGTGGTACTCAAGTCTTGGTTGGTCTGCTTCTTGTTTTTTGTTGTGTTGTTTTGGGGGGGGTCAAAAAACAACAACGGGGTTGCAGATTTTGTTTCTAGGGGGGTAGAGACAACAACATCTTTTGGAAGGGGGGGGTCCAAAATACAACCACGGGGTTGCAGTTTCTACGATGTGGTAGAGGTTCTAAGTAGAAGTTTTACAGGGCTTACTTAACCAGTTACAACTAGCATCACCAGTAGCATGACCCTCAGAGGAGTTTCATAGACCCTAAGAAGGCGTTTAAATCGACCATATTGTTCCATTGGAATCCGAAAACTTCCAGGAGTCTCCAAGAAAAGACTGATTTTCAGTGTATAGTCTAGACTAGGAGTAGTAGCACCAGTACCACCAGTAGTAGTAGTAGTAGTAGCAGTAAAGTGCTTGTTGGCTGGCTATTCTTTTTTGCGGGGGGGTCAAAAACAACGACGGGGTTGCAGAATTTGTTTCTACCCCCTTGTAGAGAAAAAGACAGAAGATGTGGTGTAACGGGGTTGCAGTTTTTGTTTGTACCTTGTTGTTGTTGTTGTTGTGTGCTGCTGCTCCCAGAAACAGGTCCCAGAATCGCCACCCACCAGCGTAACGGATAACTGCTGTTTAGAAACAGCTGTACCAGCGGTACCCGTCCCCGAGTACCTCACCCTATAAGAGAACCTCAAACATCCAATTTGAAGATTCTATGCATGCTGGTGTGCAGGCTATTTAGCCACCACTGGCAGCTCAGTGTTTAAAAGCCAAAGTGGCGAAACGATGCGAAACGCCTTGACTACGCTGGGTCTTAGACGCAATTCAAGACTTTGCCCAGCTAGGTTTTTGTGTATTAGCCAGGTCCACACGGACCACGTCCACTGCGGTTCCAGTCTTGGCTTCCATCTACTGGTAAGGACAAAGAGAGACAATGTTGATGGGGTTGCAGTTGTTGTTTGTACCTTGTTCTTGTTGTTGTCGTCGTCAAGCGAAAATGTCTGTCATGAGAAGTGGATGGGGTTGCGCCGTGTCAGGAGGATGAGGGTGAGAATGAGGCCCAGGTGGGCTGTTCTGATGCTGAAAAATCAAAAACTGCCCTTGAAGACCTGCTAAAAACCTGCTAAAAAATTGAGAGTCATCTAGTGAATGCATCACCTCGGACGCACTCTTCCAGCGAAGGTGACGACCGCGACGACTGCGCCGGGCAGAGTAGGCTTCGATGAGACGGCAGAGGTGCGCAAAACACGGCTGCGGTGTGGCCGGTGGCCGGTGGCCCTGAATGGTGCAAAAATATGTATTTAACCATTGAGGTTAGAAGATCGTCTGACTCCAGAAACGTATTTGGATCACCTTCAATCGTTGAAAAGACTTTACTAGATTCCGCTACCTCAGTCTGAGGACAGAACTCTGTGCGAAGTGAGAAAGCATCGCCACCAGTTTGTTTCGGTCGCTCCTTCGCGTTCGGGTTGATGGACCCTCCGTGGGTGTTTGAAGCGATTTCTATCCGGCTCCAAGCACGAAGGTCGAGGAGGGTGGTCAGTCCCTACCTTCGATGGTTGGAGTCCGGGTTCTTTCGAACTCTTGGCCCTTGAGATTTCCAGATCCAAGGGGCCTGAACCACAGCCTACTTCTTGCACCCTTTTTCCTCGCTCAAACATCCGATGTCCTCGAGGTCAGATCAAAACCATGCGATCCTCTCCAGGTGATTCCAGGTCTTGGGGATCACCCAGGTGTTTTGCACACCAGGACCGTCGACGGATGCCCGAGCTCGACCGAGCTCCACAGGAGAAGCCAAGACCGACAGCTTCCAAGGCTGAAAGACTCGAGTGCTGACGGCGACGGCTTGTGGACTTGCTACCTCCTATAGTGTTCCAACTAGCTGCTAGCTTTGGGTACCAGAGGAACATGGTGGTTGGGTGACTTGGCATTCAGCTAGTCCCTATGAAAAACCTTCTTATAATGCCTTTGGAGGTCTCTCTAACACGAAAACCTTCCCTCTTGAGTCTTGAGCCTCTTTTTCCCTTGTTGCTCCCCGTCCGACGGCCCAAACAGGCAACAAAACCACCCAAAGCTCTGTCTCCGTAGTCCATCAATGGTACCCAGCTGTACATTGGGGTGGTTGAAAAGGAACCCATTTTTCATCAGACGGCATATATTCCATACATGCATGGAGTCGATGTTTAGGATCCTTGTTTGGACCACTATTGGCACACTTGAGCCTGTCTTTCACCCTTGTCCTCCTCTTTTTTTTCGGACCAGACGTGGCACGAGACGACATCGATGACACAGGTGACTGGACGACGTGGCACCGGCTTTATCAGTGCCGAGGAGGTGGACAATATGGTGCCCGACGAGGCGCAGAATGTGTGCACCGCTGTGTGTGTTTGCTTTTTTGAACAGACCGGACAGGGTTGAACACGCGGGCGCTCAATGTTTTTGTTGTTTCTTTTTGTCGTTGAGCAAAACGCGGCCAAACCATGAAAAGAAGTTGAGATTGGTGGGTTCTTCTTGGGTTTAATCCTGTGCCAGGTTGGGAACCTTGGAAATGCTGGAAACCGATTGGAAAGCAGAAGGTTCATTATAGGAGCAATGAGACATCTAAAGACCATATTTTGAACGACTGAGTGACTGAAGTAAAGGCGATTCCTTTTCGGGTCACCTAATGACCCTTCTTTTTATAGTCTTTGACTCCCCAGGCCATAAGAGACAGTCCCCAGAAGCTGGAACAGAAAGATAGCTGAGAGAGCAGCATGTTAGACTTCACAACAGGTGATACTATCGAACACTATGTGTTGAACGGCATTCATGAGGCAACGGCCTTTTTGGAGCGTGATAGCTCATAGGACCATAGGATTGAATGATCAATGAACTTTCTCTTGGCCTGGCCCATTTGATCTGAGTATCTCAAACACGCATTTCTGCATGGTCGGCTTCTCTCGATTGGTGGAGTGCGATTCGTCTTGGTATGGATGGGAATATAATATATATATATATATTGTGCCAGCAGCTGGATAAATTGGTGGCTGGATGTCCTGCAGTTCAGTGGAACACCTGCAACACCTGTTTGGGGCAATTGATGTTCCCCACGATTGTTTGAACACCCTTAAGCTTTAATTATATCACCTTTCCAGGGAGACGGCTTGGTCCTGAAACACGGCGCGACTAACGACGTTACGTTAACGTTTTGGTCCTGGGCTTCTCGAACAGCAAGGACCAGGTAGACTCCAGGTAGACGACAAGGACTCACCAACCAATGGAGGGCCCTGGAGGGAGGCCCTCAGCAACCAATAGAGGGCCCAAGATGGCCCAAGCATTGTGCAGAACACCGCCACCTTCCGGGGCCTCCTTCCGGGGCCTGTCGGACTGGTGCGGTTTTCTATTATAGAAAGCCCCAATCCAAGGGACTGGTGCCCAATCCATGGGACGGGTTCAAAAATCGACCCCTGGCCTGGTGGACAAACAGGCCAGTCCACAGGGGATACAAGTCTGACAAAAGCATATGTTTCATGAACAGGTAAATGGGCACAGCTCAGTGGCTCGTGATTTTGCCATGAGAGCATGTAAACAACCATGCTCAGCATCTCTCTTCGAAAGCACACCACAGAAAGACAAGCAATTCCTCTACTCTGCTGGACATTCAGGGTAGTGTTGAAGTTGTATATATGTGTCATTCTTTCTAGCACAGGAAAGACCCGACTCCAGTCCAAAGCGATCTTTTTCAAGTGATCTCTTCATCGGCCCAGTGATGAATCCACTCAGCTTCCACCAGGAAGCAGTTGTAAGAGAGACGGCCAAGGCGGGGACCCCGCGCTCCTCGCTCACTCCACGGGACCTGTGGGCGAAGCCCAAGCATTCGGTCGCGCGACTGAACGGGGTCAAGGATGTCAATGGGCAGAACAAGGGGGCGGCATATATACAGTCTCATGGAGTGTTTCCATTTGATCATCAAATATAAAGGACAAATAGGATACAAATTCCTGGGGGGCTGGGGGCCGCTGCAACTTATTATGATGATCGGGCATGCTTGGATTGGATCGGGTCAGCCAAGCACCGTGTCTTATTTCCTCAGTGGGCAACCTTTAACCTCGTTTTTGCCCCCTGGCGGGGGCAGGGCGCACCAAGAAATCAAGGCACAACATGCTTGGCTTTGCTTTGTTATATAGGAATCGGAGTTCCGGAGCCTGAAAGGAGGAGGAGAAGGAGACAAGGAGCGCGACGAGGAGCAGAACAAGCAGGAGGGCGGCGAGGAACAGGACGAGGAGCAGAACAAGGAGGAGAGGAGCAGAAGGAGAAGGCGAGGACATCAACCAGCAACGTGCTCCAACGCCTCCGACACTGGCTGAAATCCAGCGTGCCGCGAAAAGACAAGGAGGTTCAGTTCCATGGGCGCCGTCGCTTACTGTTTGATGTGGTGATTGCCTTCGATTTTTTTATGGATTGCAGCAATGGGTGTCAGCCTCCAGCTATACCTTCTCCAATTAAACTACATTTTGCAGTTTTGCTTGAGGTCTATAGGGTTTGTTTAATGTTCTTCTTTTCTTTAAACAAACGGTTTCTGATGCAAATTGGAGCCATTTGTGTTTGATTTGTATTTGTTTGTTGACTCTTGGTGATGTCACGTCACGTCCGTCTACGCGCGACCGCGACTGCGCCACGCCGTGAGCTTGCGATCTTGTCGCTTGAGCCACTTCCCCCTTGTGATGGGCCCACAGCCCTGCAACCTGCGACAAACATCATTGCAGCGCCCGCTGCGCAATTAACGAGTCTTCGTATAATCTTCTGGAATGGCTGAGGCTGACACTGTCCTTCTGCCACAGTGGTTCAGCCTCTTTTCGCAGTGGCGCCGTGACGAAATTCGACTGCGACTCTTGCCACGTGAGCTGTTTGACCTGGAAGTTGTTGTGAACTAGGCTTTCTTCGCAAGTCTGCAAATCGGATGTCTTACGTCACACGTTTCTCAAAGCGTGGATCACCCGTGTTAGCCACCACCGCCACCGCCGACGCCACAACATACCGCCGCTGTCCTACCGCCCACCGTCCTACATCGCCGTCATCCGCCGTCCTTCCGTCCGGCACGCGCAACACACAAACCCAAAATAAATCAGAAGCAGCGAAGCGCTAAAACTGTAAAGGGGCGGCATGCGCAGCCCTGGAACTGCAAGCTTGCCGGACCAGGCTTTTCCCGCCCTTTAAATTCATGCCCCTGCTGGCCTTCGCAGGCAAAACCGCTGCTTGAACCTGTGCTACTTCCAAATCCAGAAGCTTTCGCAGCGGCACTGTTTGACCAGTTGTGGGCTGCAAGCCAGCGCGTCCCCAGTCCTACGCGCGCTCCTTTCAACTGCCAGTGTCTTCCCTGCCGTTCACCTGTTGATCCTTGCCGCGTTTGTGGAGCGGCCGGCCCTGCTGTGGAGCAGACGGCCCTGCTCTTGTCCTTGCCTTGCCTGTGCTCACTGTGTGGCTACTGTGTGGCTGCGCTTTTGTGAGTACCGCAGCACATGTTGTGAGTACCGCAGTGCATGTTGCGCGCACCGCAGCACATGTTGTGTGGTCCGCAAGACAGTGTCGGCCACATACGCGAGGTCCAGAAGGACTCCGGGGCATGCTGGGACAGTGGGCCCCAGGCCCCCAAGATGTTTTGGTTACACAATGATGGTATGTTTTGTTAGGGCGCACAGCATGTTCTGTTGCTGGAAGCAAAAGGAGTCAAGTGTTGTCCCTTGTTGCACCTATTGCTGAGGCATCATTTGTGGAATGTTCTGCTGTGCTTGGGCGCGTCTTTCTTGCCAAAGCATGTTGCTGTTTGCCAGTGCAAAGAACCGGGTGTGACTAGGGCTTATCGTGCGGCTATACTTGGTGTCAAGCACACACACACTGTACAGTGCGGTGTGCGCAACATGTGCGGCGGAGAGCAAGCGCAATATGTGTTAAGAGCTGCGCTTTGAGCGCACGAAATGTTCCGTACGGCACAAAACATGTGGTGTGAGAGACGACGCAGGAACCCCTGTGGTGAAGGCACATAATATCTTGTATGTTCTGGTGCACGCAACATGTGTTGTGGTGCGCACAACATATGGTTTTGCGGTACATACAACATGTCTTGCGGAAGCGGGCTCGGCCGATTCCAGTGCATCAACTTCTGGCACCTGCTCCAGTCCGCGCGTGCATGCCCAAAGCATTTGGACCTTACCTATACTCCTCTTGCGGCCCGGGGACCCGCCGTGGAATCAACTTCCTCAAAAGGTTTCCGAAGGGCCCTCTGTTATAAAAGGTGGTTCAAACCCCTTCGTGCCCTTAGCTGCCCCACTGTTGCCTGCAGGACTTTGCCGCGAGCGCTTCGGATAAGCCTTCCCAGGACTTTTCTCCGACCGGCTTGTAGAGATAAATAAAGATCTTCGACGGATGCGCTGTTCTCCAACCCAGTCCTGGTGACGATGCATGGCTGGCTGGGGCTGTAGGACGGCTGCTTCAAAAACCACACCTGAGTAATCCTCGTGAACGCTCTTCAACATCGCCGTTGCGCAGCCTAATAATATGTAAACCGTGTTTGTTGCGTACCCGACCCCCAGGAGGAGGTTCGAACATTATGCTCAACGAACAACAACAACAACAACAACAACAACAACTACTACTACTACTACTACTACAACTACTACTACTACTACTACTACTACTACTACTACTACTACTACTACTATACTACTACTACTACTACTATACTGCTACTACTATACTGCTACTGCTACGGCTACTGCTACCACTACGATTTCCACCGCTGCCACTACCACTACCACTATACCACTACCACCACCACCACCACCACCACCACCACTACTACTACTACTTCTACTACTACTACCACTACTACCACTACTACCACTACGACTACGACTACGACTACGACGACGACGACTACTACTACTACTACTACTACTACGACTACCACTACCACTACCACTACGACTACCACTACCACTACCACTACCACTACTATTATTACTACTACTACCACCACTACCACTACTACCACTGCTACCGCTACTACCACTACTACCACTAATACCACCACTACCACTACTACCACCACCACCACTACTACTACTTCTACTTCTACTACTACTACTACTACTACTACCACTACTACCACTACTGCTACTACTACTACCACTACCACTACCACTACTACTACTACTACTACTATTACTACTACTACTACTACTACTACCTACTACCTACTACCTACTACCTACTACCTACTACCTACTACCTACTACCTACTACCTACTACTACTACTACTACTACTACCACTACTACTACTACTACCTACTACTACTAC